CGTGCTCGCGTCCGAGTTGCCTCGGCTGTGATCATGCGAGGCAGCCAGCGGAGAATCTCTCTCGAGAATCTTTGGGGCAGTTCCGACACTGAGACGATGTTTCTCAGAAGCTGTGAGCTCGCTGTGGATAGCGAATCGGCCGCGACGACCTTTGGTAGGCGTCTGGTTAGGCCGTGAAGCACGCCGCGAAGCACGGGAGGAGTGCGCATCTCGCGGAGCAGGAAGATCGAGCACAAAAGTCGAAGACTTTGGAAGCGAAGACTCAAGTCGACGAGGGATATCCGTGGCAAAGTCATCGTCATCACCATAAAAGCTGAATCGTCCAGCGTACCGACGCTGGACGATGCGGCCTGATGGACTGGCTTGCTGTTGGTTGCGCGCGCGCTGCAAGTTCCCGGCGCGGAGCGCGTCGAGAGCGCCGTTCCCAGTTTCGACAAAAACATCATCTTCGTCGGAGGGAAATGTTTCGAAAAATGGGCTTTTGCTGTTGTTCCAGTCCCTCTTGCCGCGTGCTTGCCGACCCGAGGACTTTTCAACGTCTGACGAGACTTCCTCTATCATGGAGAGGTCATGAGCAGCGTGAGATCCTTCCTCTCCATTTTGCGTTAAAGTGCTTTCTATCTCGTAGCATTAGCTATAGGACACGCCAAACAACCTTGGTCGACCTCAAATCCAGCGTACCTTCATCGCGATAGGGGTGTGAGTCCACGCCCTCTTGCTCCAGGTCGTTGTGCATGACCCAGCGTGGCAGACGATCTGCCTGTCGCTGAGAACCTTGATTATTCTGATCTTTCTCTCTTCCTGTTTGCCTGCGAAATCTGATGCTTCTGCAGCAGTTTGACACTATGCCAGTTGAGTCTTGAGGGGATCGTCAGTTAAGGCCTAGCGTGGGAAGGAACAGCTGCTGTCGATGGAGAACAACAAGAGATCGCGGGATATAGCCTTGCCTCTGAACGGATTCCTTTTTAACAGGACCCGCGCGCCGACTAAGCGGTGCCTATCGCCATGGCACCGTCGCCCAGAGGGGTCGGCGTTGAAGCCAAAGAGTTTCTACCGACTGTCAGCGGTTGGCGAGAACTTGCGTGCGCGTCTTGGACCTACTAGCACACTAGGAGACCCAAGCATGTAAGCTTTCGTTGCTTCCGCCTTGAACTGGCGACTCACATGTTGGGTCCCATTGTTCGTGAAAGCAAAATGGGCAGAATACCCCCGGTTGGTGATAGCTTCAATGCCACATGCCTTACCTAGAAGAAGAGCTTTGGCAGTGCCCTCTGCCCAATAGTCCCATTATCACAGTGCACGGACTCTTGAAACCAGGCGTACCGTTGATGGATGGCAGGTGCGATGTCAGCAATGAACTTCTCTCCTGATTATGAAAACTTAGGCAAACTGCTTGAGCAAACCCAGCGTACATGCTGTGACGAGGCCGTCTTGCGATTCAGATCAGCATCCATCGGTCTACAAGACATGACAAGTGGAGCAAGCAGATACGGGATCGAAAGCAAAGGTAACTGT